TTGTATCCTTTGACGCTTCATGGCGACCAGAGATCACAAGGAGGATTCAGATGCACGACCACGCAATGGGGCCGCTTAGGAGGGTACTACTCAACAAGGGCACACTGTCGGTCGAGGCAAAGGTGAGGTATTGTGAGGCCCTCGCATTCTCTAAGCTTTTTCAACAGATGGAGATATGGCATGATTTGGGAGTTTCTAACGAAGATCTGATACAGGCGGCTTATGTTGGCGCTTTGCGTGCAGCGGCGGGGATGGTGCATGTAGCGAACAACGAGGAACATTTCACTGACGATGCGGTGTTCTTGATGGTGAAACGAGCAGGGCTAGATCTCATTCGGAAGATTCGGCGGTTGAAGTACCTTGAGCGTGTCATCAACTATGGGCCTGGCACTTCGAGGCTACTTCTGGAAGCTAATGGCTGGGAAGGCTCACGGCTTGGACAGGTAGGCGATGATTTGGAGCGGCTAGGAGCAATTGTACCCGAAAGAACGAATAGCGTGGGGACATTTAAGGATTGGGTGGCGATTATCAGGACTTCCAGGAGACAATACCAGAAGATCTGCAACATTGCGTGGAAAAGAAATAGACTTAAGTGGCATAGTGCATGTCTACAGAGAGTTAGACATAATATTACTAGGCGGCTTTATCCCGAGCAGGATCCTGGAGTGGAGGAACGTCGACGTATTCTATGCTATGAATGTGGGAGTGTGTTCAAAACAAAAAGAGCCTGGCAGCATCACCGTGCAAAGATTCATGGAGGAAAGGTGGATGCCGCGAAGTATGCAGAAACGGGATTTTGCAGGGCGTGCAGTACTGACTTTCATACGAGGTTTCGTTTGCTTTATCACTTACGCTATAGGAATACAAGCTGCTTCGAAATCCTGCGTGAGAGCATACCCCCACTGAGCGACCAATTAGTGACGGAGCTCAAAGAGAGGGGCCGTCGTGAGGCCGCGCGTCTGAGAACGCAGAGTATCCTGAATCTAAGGCAATGTGTCCACCAGTGTACGATCAGGTACTACGTCGACGAGGACTGCACAGAGCACAGCACAGCACAGCACAGGCGTGGCACAGGCGTGGCACGCATGGCATTTCCTCGACACCACAAGGGGGGGAGCTGTGGGTGGGGACGCTATCCGTTTCGGGCTCGCAAAGCGTGGCAGGCGTGGCACTTCCTCGACACCGCAGGGGGGGAGCTGTGGGTGGGTGCGCTATCCGTTTCGGGCTCGCAAAGCGTGGCAGGCGTGGTACTTCCACGACACCACAGGGGGGGGGCTGTGGGTGGGGGCGCTATCCGTTTTGGGCTCGCAGAGCGTGGCAGGCGTGGCACTTCCTCGGCACCACCGGGGGGGGGCTGGCCTGGCACTTCCAGCAACTGGCGTGGGAGGGGGAGCTGTGGGTGGGGGCGCTATCCGTTTCGGGCTCGCAAAGCGTGGCAGGCGTGGCACTTCCTCGACACCACAGGGGGGGAGCTGTGGGTGGGGACGCTATCCGTTGCGGGCTCGCAAAGCGTGGCAGGCGTGGCACTTCCTCGACACCACAGGGGGGGCTGGGGTGGGGGCGCTATCCGTTTCGGGCTCGCAAGCGTGGCAGGCGTGGCACTTCCTCGACACCACAGGGGGGGAGCTGTGGGTGGGGACGCTATCCGTTGCGGGCTCGCAAAGCGTGGCAGGCGTGGCACTTCCTCGACACCACAAGGGGGGAGCTGTGGGTGGGGGGAGCGGGCTCGCAAAGCGTGGCAGGCGTGGCACTTCCTCGACACCACAAGGGGTGCGCTGGGGGTGGTTCCCTATCCGTTGCGGGCTCGCAAAGCGTGGCAGGCGTGGCACTTCCTCGACACCACAGGGGGCGCGTTGGGGGTGGTCTCCCTATCCGTTGCGGGCTCGCACAGCGTGGCAGGCGTGGCACTTCCTCGGCCCCACAAGGGGTGCGCTGGGGGTGGTCACCCTATCCGTGACGGGCTCGCAAAGCGTGGCAGGCGTGGCACTTCCTCGGCACCACAGGGATTGCGCTGGGGGTGGTCTCCCTATCCGTGACGGGCTCGCAAAGCGTGGCAGGCGTGGCATCTCCTCGACACCACAGGGGGTGCGCTGGGGATGGTCTCCTTATCCGCTGCGAGCTCGCAAAGCGTGGCAGGCGTGGCACTTCCCCGACACCACAGGGGATGCGCTGGGGTTGGTCTCCCTATCCTTGACGGGCTCGCAAAACGTGGCAAGCATTGCACTTCATCGACACCACAAGGGGTGCGCTGAGGGTGGTATCTTTCTCCGTTGCGGGCTCGCAAAGCGCGGCAGGCGTGGCACTTCCTCGATACCACAGGGGGGGGAGCTGTGGGTGGGGACGCTATCCGTTTCGGGCTCGCAAAGCGTGGCAGGCGTGGCACTTCCTCGACACCACAGGGGGGGGCGCTGGGGGTGGTCCCCCTATCCGTTGCGGGCTCGCAAAGCGTGGCAGGCGTGGCACTTCCTCGACACCACAGGGATTGCGCTGGGGGTGGTATCCTTATCCGTTGCGGGCCCGCAAAGCGTGGCAGGCGTGGCACTTCCTCGACACGACAGGGGGTGCGCTGGGGGTGGTCTCCCTATCCGTTGCGGGCTCGCAAAGCGTTGCAAGCAATATGGCGTTGGATGACACATAGGGAAACATTCGCGACGAGGGCTCAGAACGCAGGATTGCGCATATATTAAAAAACATAAGCAATCACATCATATTTAAATTACGTATGTGGGGTTCTTCGGTAGCGTAATTATCAGAGGTGGGCTTTCAGATATGGCAACCAAGCTGCAGTGCGGTAAGATCTTCGCTGTGTATTTTAGAATATCGACTTTGATAAGGAGAAATGCAGGAGCCACCAATTATTCCGCCAGCTTGGCCACCCGAGAACAAGATCTTTGGTGTGATAAGGTGAGTCTGTTCATCGAGATTGTGGAAAATATGTCGATAATGGTTGGGAATGTATTCGTGGTCGAAGCTGACAGTTCTGTATATGAGGCTATGAGCTGTGGATTCAATGGAGACGACGGAAGGGTTCGACATGGAGCTCGAGAAGTACTGGATGCGCGGGCTGCTGCCACTGGTGCGACATGCTTGACCAGAGGGCCCTCTGATGGGGGCTGCGGCGGCCGCGCAGCTGGTGGCGCCCCGTCGCACCACTGGGCCCCCCCCATGGGCCCACCAGTGCGGCGGGGCGCCGACGGCGACGAGCCAGCCCCCCGTCCTGCCACTGGGCCCCCCCCACGGGCCCACCTGCAGGCGGGGGGCTGATCCCTCCTTTTGCCCCCCCCACCCTCCTGGTGGGGTGGTGGCGTTGGCGGCGGGCGTGCGGCCGCGCGCGCTCGCCGCGGACACTACGGGCGTGACGCTCGTGTGGCGCGTGCGAGAGAGAGAGAGAGAGAGAGGAGGAGGAGGAGGAGGAGGAGGAGGAGGAGGAGGAGGAGGAGGAGGAGGAGGAGGAGGAGGAGGAGGAGGAGGAGGAGAAGGAGGAGGCACGACGCGGGCTGCGCGGCGCTGGCAGAATTGCGCGAAGAACAGAGCTGCACCGTGCACCGCGAGGCCGTGCTGCCCCACGCCTCGCCGCAGAGCCCCGATGCGCGAATGGATCCGGTTGTCCATGCGCCAGGCGTCCCCGCGCCACTCCTGATCGACATCACGGTCGTGAGGGCAACCTCGCAGGACGCCCTGGCGAAGGGGGCTGCGAGGCGGGACGGAGCGGCTGCCGCCGCCGCAGAGCGCCGGAAGCGAGCTCGCTGCCCCAGCGTGCCGGTGATCCCGTTCGTCGTTGAAGACCACGGGAGATTCGACGAGGAAGCGGCCGCCCTCGCGCGGCAGGTCGCGCCCGCGGGGAGCGCGGCGCGTTCCGCTGCCATCCGGCAGCTCCACCAGAGCCTGGGGAGCGTGCTGCAGCGGCACGCCGCGGACGCGGTCCTCTCGGCCACGCAGGCGCGGCCGTGGCGGGCCGCCGCCGCGCTCGCGCCGGCGCTGCACGGGGCCGCCGCGCCGCCGCCCGGAGGGCCTGGAGCGCCGCAGCTAAGCGCAGCCCCAGGCGAAGGCCGCCCGCGCGCCGCCGCCAAGCGCCAGCCACTGGGGCTGGGCCGCGGGCGGGCGCCGCGCTGGGCCGCTGGGGCAGGGAGGGCGCGGGGCGCCGCCGCTGTCGAAGGCGGGCCCAGGCGCGGGGCTGGCGAGGGCGCAGAGTGGCGCCGCGCCGCGGCCGCGGGCGGCGAGGCTGGCGGCGCGGCGCTGCCAGGCAGGCGAATGCCGCGGGGCCGGGCGCGCGCCGGGTGGGGCCGCGGACGGCTTCTGCGCCGAGGCGGCGCGCTGGCGACTGGAAGGCGCCTGGCGGTGGGACCGCAAGACGCGGCGCTCCACGCCATCGTCGCGATCTCCGCGGCGGTCCCGTGCATCGGAATTCCTAGGCCCCGGCGGGCGCACCCCCTCGGCTCCAGGACCAGTCACCGCTGAGCGGTGCGCTAGTTTCAGGGTTGGGGGGCTGAGCCCGCTCCCGATTCAAGTGCTCGGGCGCGCGGACAAAAGCGCTCGCCGCTCGGAGGAGAAAAAGGAGGGGGGGAGGAGGGGGAGGAGGAGGAGGAGATGGATGATGATGATGATGATGATGATGATGAGATGATGATGATGATGATGATGATGATGATGATGATGATGATGATGATGATGATGATGATGATGATGATGATGAGGAGGAGGAGGAGGAGGAGGAGGGAGGAGGAGGAGGAGGAGGAGAGGAGGACGACGAGGACGAGGGGGTGAGTAGAACCAGGGAGACGAGGAGGAGGAGGGGGAAGAAACACTTGCGCTTTCTATTAATTGGGAGGCCTCTGGAGGTCTCCCTCCAGAAGCCTAAGGCCTCATGGAGACTCCCAGAGACCTCAGGAGGCCCCTTGGAGGGGACGATGCGAGAGGGGGGGGAGATGAGGGAGAGAGGGGGAGCACGAGGAGGGGTGGGAGGAGGAATTTCAAGCGCTGTTCGAAGACCAGCGAGGCGCTCCTCCACATCACGTGGTTGACCTTGAAGATCCTCCTCCTCCTCCTCCTCCTCCTTCTCCTCCTCCTCTTCCTTCTCCTCTCTCCTCTTCCGCCTCCTCCGCCTCCTCCCTCTCGTTGACCTTGAAGATCTGGTCCCCGGGGACGAGGGCATCGTCAGGGTTATCCTCGTTGAACATGTGAACCGCCCCCATCTTCTCGATCTTCGCGACCGTGACAGGAAGCCAATCGTCGGTTGCGTTCAGCTCCAGCCCCAGCCTGTGGCCGACGCTCACGGGGATCGTCGCCAGCCAGCCCCTGGCGTACGAAACATTAGCGGTCTGTCGGCCGCCCTGCTCTCCGGCTTCCTTCACGAACACCCTGTCTTCTAGATTCTCGACCACCGATCTGGGCCTCTGGACGTGCAGCGACAGGACCTCGTTCGAGGGCGAGCTCCTCTGCGCCATGTGGCTGAACTGGCTCTCGATGCGGCTCCCGAAGACTTTGGAATTGTGGTGCCATACGATTCGGTTTGCGCGGATGATCTCGTCGCCCGGGTAGATCCGGAATTCGGGGTGCTCCTGATTCCATAGGGCCACCAGGCCCGTGCTGTCCAGCTTGTGGACGGACGCAGGCACCCAGTCGACAGCAGTGTTCAATTCTAAGCCCAGCGAGCGGTTTCGCATCACAGAAATCCGCAGCCCTTCAGGAGGGCAAGAGGAGTGGAAGGGAAACGGGAGGCGGAGGAGGAGGAGGAGGAAGAGGAGGAGGAGGAGGAGGAGGAGGAGGTGGAGGAGGAGGACCTCCTTCACCTCCCCCACCTTGGCCGTCCCATCCACCCCAAGCGACCGACCCTTTCACTCCCGTTTTGGGGCACGCCACCTCGGTTCCCGTGCGGGGGGCCGACCGCGGCCCTCCCATCCCGCAGGGGGGAGGCCCCCCGCGGGACGGGCTGACGTTCCCAGGAGGCCGCAGCCAACCGAGAAGGGGGGGGGGGGGCGATCGCCGACGAGATTCCACCCTGTGGGACGGGCCTCTCCGCCCCCCGTCTCCGACCATCCCGACTCTCCGACCCCTGGCCTCACGAAGGGCCTGCCAGGCGCAGGCAGACCCTGCGCGGGCCCTCGCGGCCAGCGAGGAAGCCCGCAGCCCTCTTCTGTGAGGACTCGAACTCCACGCCGAGCTCGAGGACCTGGCTCATGGTCTCCAATTCGGCCAACACCCCGCCGAATGCTACGCGATGCGACGGGTCGAAGCCCTCGAACCGCTCGTTGGTCGGCGCGTCCGCCTCCGCGTTCTCCGTCCGCCTGCGCCAGTCCATGCGCAATTCGAACCCTGGGCCTGTCAGCCGGCTCGACAGTTCCATGGCGACCGCGCACAGCGGCCATTTAGTGATGACCCACCTGCGCACCAGGCCGTCGTTGCCCTGGCTATCGGTTTCTGCCGAGAAGGACACCTGGCCACGGCGGCCGCGGTCCCGCTGCTCGCCCTCCACAGGCAGGACGAGGCCGCACACGACCGCCAGCAACTCCAGGCTCTCCACCACTTTGTACGGCTCCCCCTTGGCGTGGGCCCAGGGGATGGGATGTCCTCCCTCGCCAGGACCTGCGAGAACCATCTCGCCTCCCACGTCGAGGGCGCCGCTCCAATCGTCTAGCCACCCAAGACGATCAGGTCGCAATCGGCCTCCGCGTCGAGGAGGAAGGGGCGCGTGCCGCATTCGCTGATGAGGCCGTCGACCCACCTCAGAAAAAGCCGGGCCGCGGCGGGGGTCGGCACGCAAGCTCCTCGAGGGCAGGCCGCCACCCGCGAGTAGGTCGGCCCCAGGAAGGGGCGGGCGTGCGCCAGGGGGCCAGCAGCGAAGGCCAGTGGCCCCAGCCCCTCGCGGATCCACCCCACGAGCATGACTGCCGCCTCCTTGCACCAGCTGGCCACCCGCCCCCAGCGCTTCGCCGAGATCCCCAACTCGACCTCCCTGACGAGGATGTGGCAGCCCACCCAGTCCACCGCGAGGCCTCCCCTGAGCTTGCCAGGCGCCAGCGGGACGCCGACGGCGACCAGCGCCATTGGGGCGGCCAGCAGCTTCCGCCCAAAGCCTACGGGCCCACGCCATCACGCAGCTGTCGCCCGCGTAGACCAGGTGGTAGATCGCGAGGGGGGGCGAGGACAATCAAACCAAAGACGCGCGCACACCGGCAGCCTGCGCCCCCCACGCCGAAGGCGCCCATGGCGTTCACCAGCACTGCGAGCTCATCGCCCCCGCCTAGAGCGCCCCGGCTGCAGGAGGGGAGTCCTCCTCGCGCGCGGGTATTCGCCGGTGCGCCTTGGAGACGTCGGATAGGAGCGCGAGCGTCACCTGCCCGCTCGCCCCGTGGATCGCGCCGAGGACCGAGGTCACGTCCTACCCATCCGGGAACCGCACCTGCTCCAAGACCCTGATCTCGTGGTTGACCAGGACGTAGTGCGTCGCGTCGAACACCACTCGCCACTCGTCCGCGCCGGAGGCCTTCTGCACCGCGCCCGGCGCAGCGACCCTCTGGCGGTCGGGCCAGCGCCTCTATGGCCCCGCCCAGCGTGATCCTCATCATCCCCCCTCGGCGACCACCTCGCGCAGCTGCGCCGCGATCGCCCCTGGGCGGTTCTTGACCGACGCGTAGTCGTCGGCCCGCTCTTCGCCCGCCGCGAACTCCTCCTCGGCCGCGCCTGGGGGCGCCCACGTGGTTTTGCGCTCGTGGACCACTGGGGTCCGCGGCAGCAGGACGTCCGCGCCGACCGAGGCGCCCGTCGCCGCTACCGAAGCGACGGCGTAGCCGCGGCCCTCGAAAGCCTTCCAAGCGCCTCCGCCAGCCTGATGGACATCGGCGTCTCACAGTCGCCCGGGCGAGGGAGGTGCTCGAAGTCCGCGCGCCTAGTGACTGCTGCCATCTCGCCTCGAGCTTCGCCGCGACCATCGGGGGGAAGACGTGGCCCTTCACCCTGCCCAGCAAGCGCTCGGGGAAGCGCAAGGTGGGAGGGCCCCCTTCCCGGCGGCTGCCTCTCCTTGGCCGCCAGCAACTCCAGATCCGCCAAGCCGCGCCGAGCGCCGCCCTCAGTTCGGCCGCGATCCTCGAGGACGGGAGGCAGCACGCCTGCGGGGCCCACCTGCCCGGCGAGCGCAGTCTGGCGCCGTCCTCGATGCCCTGGTCGCCCCGTCTGCAGCGGGCGACCGCAGGATGGCCGCGGCCCCGCTGGCCGTCACCGAGCTCCCTCCGGGGGCCGACGTTGCCGCCGTCAAGGTCTGGTGCCTTCTCGTGGCCTGAACGCTTCTTGCACGCGGCGAGGAGGGAGCCGTCGGCGAGCATGACGTCCAGGGTGGATGCGGCGGCGGCAGCGCGGGAATTTTCCTGCACATGGCGATGGGAGGCCCGCTGGCCACGACTGTCAGGTCGTGGGTGTCGGTGAGCGTCTCGATCACGCTGATGCTGGCGAGGCCGGCGCTGACGGGAACGATGAGCCTGTTCACCAACACTGCGACCACTGCGACTGTGACTGCGAACATGTTCTGCCTGCGAGCTACTGGACCTCGAGCCGTCGGAGAACGGCATGGCGTGTGCAGTCGAGGAAGCAGGACATGGAAACTTCACAAATTACCCAACTCCACACATGCAGAGACAGGTGAAATAATGACTTGCTGCGCGGGGGCCCAAGTCCGCGGTAGAGGCCGTGAGAATATGCCAGACAAAACTGTCTTGCCCGCCTCGAACCAGAGATCTCCACCCTGGCCCACGGGGGAATCATAGCATTGAGCCAAAATGGCAAATTACGGAGGAGGACGAGGAGGAAAAATGAGGGAAAGCGAAGGTGAGGAGGACGGGGGGGGGGGGGGGGAAAGAGAGGGAAGGGGGAGGAGCGGAAAATGAAGGGCCGGAGCCTTCATGGTGTTGCAGTTTCGCAACGCTCCCGATTGCCCCAGCAACGCATACAGAAAAACATGAGCATTAATAGGCTTCCACGGCAGCCCAAGGAGGCAGCCAAGATGCCGCCAGGACCGCCTGAAAGGCTCCCTGGATAGGCCAAGATGCCCCTACCAGGCCGCCAAGATGGCCCTGGGGCCGCCAGGGGAGCCCCATGGACCTTAACATGGCCTCGGTGGGCCCCAGAAGTTCCCAAGAGGGACGGGACCCCAAACATATAGGAAATTATCCCCCCCGTGAATTTCAATGTGCAGCTGTGCCCTCTCACCGCCCATAGGCCCCATGCCCGCTGCCCGTTACAACTACACACAAATACACGTCGGTCGGAAGAAGTGGGTCAAACATGAAGTAGGAAGCTGGATCAAATGAGTTGGGGTCAGGTCCTCCCAGAGAACAATAAAACGCAGCAAAATTATACCGATTCTTGAAGTAGGAAGGCGCTAGAAGTAGACTGGGATCGGGGAATCCCAAAGACAACGACTTTCAACGACCGACGGGCAACCACAATGTATTACACGTTCTACAGATAATCCAAACTATCACATCGTGGCCCAGCGGGCGACGAGGCACCGCACCCGCCCCACGAGCTGTGGAACCTCAGTGCAGTTTCAGCAGCATCGAGAGTTTCAGTGCCAGCTGCTACAGCCAGATCAACCTGCCAAATGGGTCAACCCCCTCCCCATCCCCCTCCCCCACCCCAATGTTCCGCTGGAGGTTCCCGCAGGCTGGGATAACGTACTACCGAGTAGTTTTGCCAAACTCTGGGCCAAAGCGTGGCAGCACATGGGGCGGGGGCGGGTTTCGCAGGGACCCGGACAGGCGTTTAGAGGGCGGGGGTGCGGCGGTGACTCGCCGTACGTAGGCGTCTTCGATGTTAGCGACGAACTCCTTCGAGTACTGCTGCCGATGCAAGTCCTGCCTCTGCGACTCGAAGCGGGTATCTTTCTGCTGCCTCGGGCGCTGGATGGACAGGGAGAGCGTCTTCTTCGCGCCATCCTTGTACCCCTTGGCGGCCAGGAACTGACCACTGATGCGCTTTGCAAAAGTGCGAGAGTTGTGATGCCAAATGATGCCGTTGACCTTCACGATCTGGTCACCCACGTGCACCGCCCTGTCTGGGTTGGCCCTGTTCCAAGTCTCCAACAAGCCGCTCTTCTGGATCTTAACGATCGAGAGAGGGGTGAAGTCCGTGTCCGTGTCCACCTGCGCGCCCAAGGTTTTGCCGCTCACGTGGGCCTCCGTCATGTTCAGGTCCACCGTGAACTCCCTCTCGTACGCCAGATCGTGGAGCCTCTTCCGCTCCGCCTGGGAAGACAAAAAGGTACCGATACCGCTGCTCCCCGGACCTCTCCCGGGGCGCGTTCTGGTCGGAATTTCGAAGCGCATGCTATGGTGGCGACGAGGGCCTCCCAGGAGGCCGACAATGGCGTAAACGAGGCGAGGGTAGCAGGAGGAGGAGAAGCAGGAGGAGGAGGAGGAGGAGGAGGCATTGGTACCTTTTTTTTGGTTTCTATGACCGCCTCCGCCAGCCTCGCGATGGAGAGGGAGCCGCCGTAGGCGAGGTCCACCCCCAGCTTCAGGCACTCGGCGGGCAGCGCCACGAGCGCCGCCAGGGCGAGGCGCCCAAGCCCGGCAGCCATGGAGTGCTCTGCTGTATCGGGTCGAGGAGGCCTCAGCTGGCTGGCAAAATCGAAGCAGACCAAGACACGGGGGTGAGAGATTCGGCCTTCTCCTCGCGCCGGAGCTTCCCCCCCCCTCCTTCTCCTCCTCCTCCTCCTGCTGCTGCTGCTGCTCCTCTTCGCCCCTCCTGCTACTCCTCCTGCCACACCTCCTGCTACTTTCCTCCTCCTCCTCCTCCTCCTCATCCTCCTCCTCCTCCGCCTCCTCCTCTGCCTCCTGCTGCTCCTCTTTTTGCTGCTGCTCCTCCTCCTCCTCCTCCTCCTCCTCCTCCTTCTCCTCCTCCTCTTCCTCCTCCTGTTCCTCCTCGCACTTCCTGCTGCTGCTGCTGCTGCTGCTGCTCCTCCTCCTCCTCCTCCTCATCGAACATCGGCCCCCAGACCTCTCTCTGGGTGTTATCTGATCAGAACTTTGAAGAGGGAGATCCCGCAGTGGCGACGAGAAGCCTGGTAGACGCCCAAAGGGACGTCCAAGAGTCGCGATGCTCTAAGTTCGATCCCCGACCCTCCTCCTGCCCTTCCTCCCCCTCCTTCCACTCGGAAGGCGAATCACACCCGCCCCGCGATTTTGGTCGCCACGAGTAGTAGCGATTGAAAGCAAGCTTGGGCCGAAGCGGCTTTCACCTCACCAAATCGGATACGTACGGAACAGCACCGTCCAGGGTCACGACCTCGACCTGCCACTGCCAGACCACCGATCGAGCCGAGATCGTGCAGTCACGCACTCGCGTGCAGGGCATGATTCTGAGGCGGAACATTGCACTTCCAAACAGCATGAGGTGGCGGAGCGTGGAGGAATCAAGTCCCCAGCGGCAGGGTCCACATGGCGGCGCCGCCCCATTTTGGCGCACCTCTTACACGGTTCGTGGCCCCATAGGGAGCTCCACCGAAGGCCCCAGCAGCAGGGTTCACATGGCGGCGCCGCTCAATTTTGGCGCACCCCTCACACGGGAAGCTCCACCGAAGGCCCCAACAGCAGGGTCCACATGGCGGCGCCGTCTCCTTTTGGCGCACCCCTCACACGGTTCGCGGCCCAATGGGGAGACCCACCGACGGCCCAAATAGAACGGTTCACATGGCGGCGCCGCCTAATTCTGGCGCACCTCTTAGATGGTTCGTGGCCCCATATGGAGCTCCACCGAAGGCCCCAGCAGCAGGGTCCACATGGCGGCGCCGCCCCAGTTTGTGGCGCACCCATCACACGGCTCGTGGGCCCATAGGGAGCTCCACCGAAGGCCCCAGCAGCAGGGTCCACATGGCGGCGAAGCTATATTTTGGCGAACCCCCCACACGGTTCGTGGTCCAATCAGGAGCTCCACCGAAGGCCACAGCGGCAGGGTCCGTGGCCCCATAGGGAGCTCCACCAAAGGCCCCAGCGGCGGAGTTCGCACGGCGGTGCTTCTCCATCTCGGCGCACACCTCACTCGGGTCGTGGCCCCACAGGGAGCTCCACTGACAGCGGCGCCACAACACGGTATTCACAACTGCACATGCTTGGGTCCTTCGCCAGGATAATTTTACGAAGGTGCGCGGCGCGAAAGCGAGAGCCGCATTTTGAAAACCATCCGCCCCCAATCCGTGGAACTCTTGCAATTTACTGTAAACGAATGTGCGCGGCGCTAAAGCGAGAGCCACATGTTGAAAACCGCCCGCCCTCCATCTGTGAAACCGTTGTCAATGTTTAAGCTTCAGGCTCGTAAACGGTAAAGAAGTCTCAAGCGAAACGCCCAGCCTGCCCCTCCGACTGGCCTCGGGGTGCTGCAGGGAGGAGTTATTCCTGGGGGGGCCAAGGGAGGAGGCTGCGGCTCTGGACCTCCCCAGGGCGGGTGACCCGGGTCCCCTTCCGAGCCTGCTGGGTGTCCGAGCCCATTCGTCCGCCGAGTGGGCCCAGGATGGACCCCATGCGGCCGCCGCGCGGGCGGAGCGGCTCCCCCCCCGTGCGCGCCTCGTAACCTACGATGTGCTTGTCCATGGCCTACATGGCCTGCTGGACCTGCCACAGCGGGGACCACTTGCCAGGACCCCCGGGGTGCTTCGCCGGACGGGGGCGCTGGCGAGGAGAGGGAGGTCCTCCTCCTCTTCCTCCTCCTCCTCGTCATCGTCCTCGTCCTCGTCCTCCTCCTCCTAGTCCTCCTCGCCCTCCTCGTAAGTATCATCATCATCGTCCTCAGCAGCATCATCATCATCATCATCATCATCATCATCATCATCATCATCATCATCATCATCATCATCATCATCATCATCATCATCATCATCATCATCATCATCATCATCATCATCATCATCATCATCAGCATCATCAGCATCAGCATCAGCATCAGCATCAGCATCATCATCATCATCATCATCATCATCATCATCATCATCATCATCATCATCATCATCATCATCATCATCATCATCATCATCATCATCATCCTAATCATCATCCTAATCAACATCATCATCACCACCACCATCATCATCACAACCATCACGCCACCACCACCACCACCATCATCACTATCATCACCACAAGCATCATAATCATAATGATCATAATGAAAATCCGCCGATCCGGCGTGTGAGTTGAAGGGGGGGGTGGGCCAGGGTGGCTCTGCCGGGGTAGGGGGGGGGGGTCCACAGATTGGGTTCGGTTGGTCGGGGTTCGGTTGGCCAAAACGGACCCAAACGTTGCCAAGAAGCCGCCAAGACGGGCCAAGACGTTTCTGGATCGCCCAAAAATCGATCCAAGACGCCGAACATGAACCCAAGACAGCCCAAGAGGCCGCCAAGACGCCCCCAGAGGCCCCCAAGAGGTCTTCCAAAAGGGCCCCGACCGGCCAAAATCATCGATTTCCCTTCGGAAAACATACATTTTAAGCATGTTCGCCTCTTGGGCCTTCACAGTGTCCAAAACGGCTCAAGGGCCCTCAAAAATGCTCCAAGACGGCCTAAGAGGGGTTTACGCAGGCCCAGGAGACCCCCAAGACGGCACAAGAGGGCTCCAGGACGGGCCCAAGAGGCGCCCAAAAGGGCTCCAAGACGGCCCAACAGCATCAGCATCAGCATCAGCATCAGCATCAGCATCAGCATCATCATCATCATCATCATCATCATCATCATCATCATCATCATCATCATCATCATCATCATCATCATCAGCATCAGCATCAGCATCATCAGCATCATCATCATCATCATCATCATCATCATCATCATCGTCATCGTCATCGTCATCGTCATCATCATCATCATCATCATCAGCATCATCATCATCGTCATCATCATCATCATCCGAAGCGCCCCGGATCGGCGGCACTGACCGGAGGCCATTTCAATAATAATCACAATCATCATCATCATCATCAGCAGCAGTAGCTTCTCATCATCCTAATCAGCATCAGCATCATCATCGTCATCATCAACATCATCGTCATCATCAGCATCATTATCATCATCATCGTCATCATCGTCATCATCACCATCATCACCTCCATCATCATCATCATCATCATTATCATCATCCTCCTCATCATCATCATCCTCATCCTCATCATCATCATCACCAGCCTCGTCCTCATCCTCATCCTCATCCTCATCCGCATCCTCACCACCACCACGACCACCATCGCCATCGTCATAGTTATAACAATATCAATAATCATCATCATCAGCATCATCATCACCATGATCATGACAACCATCACGCTGCCACCAGCACCATCATCATCCCAATCATCATAATCATCATCATCATCATCGTCATCATCATCAGCATCATTACCATTTCCATCACTACCACCATCACAATCACTATCACCATCACCATCACCCTCACCACCATCATCATCATCACCATCACCATCACCATCCCCATCACCATCACAATCATCATCACCATCGCCATCGCCATCCCCATAATCGTCATCACCACCATCATCATCATCATTATCATCATCAGCATCATCATCATCATCATCATCATCATCATCATCATCATCATCGTCATCGTCATGATCATCCCCATTATCATCATCATAGTCGTCGTCGTCATCATAACAATCCTCATCTTCATCGGTTTCATCACCCTTTTCCTTTCTCCCTCCTCATGCTCCTTCTCCTCAACCTCATCCTGCCCCTCCCACTACTAATCTTGCTCATCGCCATCGTCATCAACACAATCATTGGCATCCACCTCCCCGTTCCCATCTGCATTATCCCAATTACACTATCACACAAAAAGCTTCATCTTTAGCATCATCAGCATCGGCGCCCTGGCTCCGCAAGAGCGGCCGTAGCGGGCACAGGACAATGCGGCAGGGCTGGGCCGAGACTCGTGCTGGGAGGTGGCGGGCTCCAAAAGCAAAGCAGGACGCGGCAAGCGGAAGAGCTGGACTGTGCGTGTTTGCGGTCGTTAGACTCATGGACATCTCCTGGCACGCCGGCGGGGCCGGAGACGGGCTGTCAGCTTGCTCGCGGCAGGCCCCCTGAGGCGCCAGAGCAGCGTCGGCATCCTGGAACCGAATACTGGACGGCGTCGCTGTCTGCGCAGCCTGCGCACGCTGCAGTAGAGATGCGCACGTGCTGCATTAACACAAGAACCTGCCCAAGAAACCATTTGTACACGCTGCTAGCGGCTTCCAAATGATCCGAGCACTTTTGGCATCCAAACCAGAGAAATCCACTGGATTTTCCGCACCAGTCTGGGCCAAATCTGCAGACACCATCTCCACATGAACTCTTGGAGTCTAAGTGTCCGCGGCCCGCCGGATTAAATCCAGCACGGCTCCAGAGAAAATCAGCAGCGGAGCGGCACTGGCGTGGTCAGCACCTGGCCCATCCCCTTTGACGGCGTTGCTGGTTGCTGCTGTCGCTTCGGCGCAGCTTCCGTCAATAAGCTGCGGCATGTCGGCCAATCTGGCTACTGAGGCAAGCGGCGGACGGGCTGACGAGAACAGAGCTGTCATTGCGACAATCGA